GTATATGCTGCTATAAGGGGTATGCTTTCATGTACGTACATATAACTGTACAGGTCGGCTCTCGATCAACTATACCGGGTATACAGACACCCGATACAAATACAGAAGACTTAGAAATGAATATAGACTAAACTCTGCAAACCGACATTTGTTTGTCTACCTGCAGGTGGTGGTGGCGGCGGTGGTACTGACATTGCGGCGCCTGTCCTAATGGAGGCTATTTTGAGCTGAGAAGGACTGATTTTGCCCTCGATCTGAATAGAAGTGATGACGCGTGTCAGATCAGTAGATGGAGATCAGCCATAAAACAGTGGCGATACCTACAATGCACAGGATATACACTATATACTATATGATATATAATAAAATAAAGTATAAAATAATATACAGATTCTACACCACATACTATATTATAAACTATATTATAAATCATATAAACCACAATATAGTAAGATACAAGTATGGCTGGCGTTAAGAGATTGTACGCTATAAAATAACGCACATAAAAAATATCAGAAATTATATAAACTAATATACAATAATATATAACAACAAACAAGTATGTTCTGACGTTCACAAGTTTTAGCGTTCATAAGTTTTGCACATTACGATATAAAATCCATAATTGAATATAGTTTAAAATACACACACCTGCCATATACAGATTTACACCATATGCTACGATATATACCATAAAATGTATTGTATCACATATAATCCCATTATATAGTAAATACAAGTATGTTCTGACGTTCACAAGTTTTAGTGTTCATAAGTTTTGCACAATACGATATAAAATCCATAATAATATATATTGTAACACATATAACCCCAGTATATAATAAAATACAAGTATGGTCTCGCGTACTGACACTGGACTGGCTCTGCCAAACGGCCTACACAATGTGGATTATGTCGCTGCGATTGGTACTATACACTTCTATACCTGCAATACTGTCGAATAGAGGCTGTGTTTTTCCGCACACACAGCAACACGGAAGTAAACGTTTAGATTTTCAAACGTTATGACGACCAGAGACCCGAACAGTAGACGCAGTAACACGGAAGTAAACGTTTGAGCATTCAAACGCACTGAAGAACCACACAACATACACAACAAGACGAAGGGAAACGTTTATACAGAATATTCAAATGGTCCATCATGCCGCTCACTTTACCTAATTCGTAGTGTTAGTTTCTCTTTGCAAACACTTATATTGATAAACACAGTGCAATGCCTTGAAGCTCGCGAGGTTTGCTATGCAGTAGCTAAATATATCAGCCAATGAATACCCGCTGTCTATGACGTCAACCAATCAAATCCCCGCGTTATTTATAACAGCCAAATAGATCTTACACTCACCGCTCGTTGCAACATGTCGGCCAGGGTATCCAGGCCATCCTTCTTTTGCTTTGTCTCATTGATTTGCTGTGTGGAGGCGTATATCCCATGAGTGCAGGTAAGCGTTTGAGCTCAAAGACGCGCTACCTTTGGTGAACTGGTTAGAGTGTGTGCGTGTAGTCAGTCTTGATGCAGACAAAGACGCATGTGCGGGGGCACACATACAATCATATAGGCAAGTACGTATGCATACACAATTTGACGTGCATGCATACACAATCCAAGACATAAACACATGCATACGCAGACATATACCTATGTACGTACACAAGACGATACATATGCACATACCCTTTGCACTTTCTCAGCCAAATTACTGGCCACAGCTATCTCAATGTGTGCTTGTTGTTGAACTGCCAGCAGCTGTTGTTTGATCGCCCTCTGCTCTTTCTCGATCATGTCTGAAGTGAGAAATCGGCACAAGTCATTGTGTGGCATGTCATATCGGGTTTGATTAGCGTTTCGAGTAGATTTGTTATTATATTTATCTTTTAAATATCCCAAATAAATGTCCTAAATGTCCTAAATTTTTTAAAAGTTCACCTCCATATCACTAGACAATGAGTTTTGAATATTGTCCATAGACGGAGCAACACATTCATACGTCAGCGCACACATATATGTGTGTGACGGTGTATTCACTTCAACATAAACACGCCACCTCAGAACGAACAGGTTGATGATGCGGATGGCAAGCTATCCAGGCTCATTTTACTTCCACTTCACATGTCTAAGCTTTGTTTTTGTTATATATATATATTTATATTCACGCACACACATACACACAAACAAACACACACACACACACACAAAACAACACACACACAAAACACACACACATATATGTATATATATACATACGCGCACACACACACACACTATATATATATATATATATATATATATATATATAAATATATGAGTTCACTTACGTATGCTACGACGCACATACCGTTGGCTTCATACATGTCGAGCTTCATTTTGTCGCGAGACTCTTTCTCGATATTGATCTTGGCCTGTCAGGGCAAGTGGGGCGTAGAGGTACGTGAGTACTGAGCTTTCAGTTCATATATAGAGCGGTAGTCCTGATAGGCCGGCTGAGGATGATGAGGTACAATCATTTGCTAACCTAAAGCTATATCGTTACAGTAGGGTGTCCGCTGGGTCTGTCCTATTGAATATGCGATATACAAATGAAAGGAATTGCCACAAGGGCTTTGCCTTATGATCGAGGAGGTTGTACAGGTTTTCATACTTAGAAGTCGCAAAGAATGCCAGTGCGGCTGCAGGGTTTTAGGGTATTTGCAGGACGTATGCAGGGGCATCACGGCATACACAATGAAGCCCATCAAATCTCAACAAACCGTACCGCTCGATAGTATCACCAACAGATGACACGCCTGTGTGTACACATACCCTTGTTTCCCCCAGCTTCATATCTACATACTAAGCCACTTGCTTATAGTCCATACAGTTGTTCACTGTACATGATGCATACACCGTCACACACACCCTTGTTTCCTCCAGCTCCTTTTGAGCGGCACTGAGCGCTTTCTTATCGACCACTTCTCCATCGGAGGCGATGCCGAGCCTCTTTGTGTCCACCTTGAAATCTACATATAGCAGGTTTCATGAATGTACGATTATGTGCACATAGCATAATGTATGAATGTATTTATGTGGGTGTAATATGATGCGTGGGTAAGTAGGTTCTCATACAACATGCTTCATGAACATTTTTATGCACATATGATATGTTACAGGGGTGTGTTTATTAGCGTATATGCTTGAGTGCATGCCTATATTCTGTGCCCCCCTTAACAGGCCATGCAAGAGAATGGCCGTCTATGTGTGTGCATGTGCGTTGGATTACACACTTATACTCTGGTGTACTAGATACTGACTCATAACATCTGTTGAAGGTCCAAAGTGGCTCAGCATGTGTACGCTTGAAACACCAAGTACGCCAGCATGTGTTATTGCTTATTAATGCATCACACACACACACACACACACACATTACACACACACACATATATATATATATATATATATACAGACACATATAGACACATACAGATACACACAGACACCCACAGCCACCCACACATACAATCCGTACATGCACACACTCAGACATACCCGAAAAGTTCGGTACCATGTGCTCCTCCGGCAAGATGACACCTTGCAGCATCTTCTGCATGATGTGGAAATAGTGGTCTCTGTTGTTCTCGCACTGTGCTAGTACCATCACCAGTCGCTGGAGGATGGTGTTGTAGTAGTAGTTGTGGGCGCCTCTTTTGTCGATGACGGTGTCCAGCACACGGTTGACGTACTCCGTGTTCCTGTGCGAGACGATACGGAGGGGTTAGGGTTAGGGTTTTAGGGATTTAGGGGTTTAGGGGTTTAGGGGTTATGGATTAGATTGGCCATGTCTCGAATATAAATGGGTTTGTTAGTTGTGAGTGTAACCGAATGCCAGTTAACTGCAGTAGTGGATACCAGTACACATTAGGGTTTAGGGGTTTACTCACCCTGCATTGCTCAGAGCCATCTCGGCGCGTGCCAGATACTCAGCGTAGTCGTCGGCAGTGCGAGACTCGTACACCTCGATGTACTCTAAGATCTCCTCAGTCTGATTGGGCACTTCTTTCAGTTCCTGAGGTTGTGGGTAGCCATAGCAGGGGTAGGCATGGGAGGTATGATTCGGTAGTATAGTTCTGTTGTATAAAATCAACATTGTGACTACGTCAATACTCCACCACAAGGCTGTGGTATTTATTGATGCTGTGTTTTTTCTTCTTGTGCGGTGGCAACCTTGTCTTCATTGTTTAATTGGAGGGTTCCGATAGTATCGTATGGTCGGAGGTACAAGAGCAGACATCTTGTACACTACATACACACAATGTGAAACCCATAGAAAGCCGTCAGGACAGCAACAGTATACACACACCCGATCATATCACTGTATTTGGTTGGATTTGAGTGCATGAATATGAAATCAGGTTCAGCAGTCCCAGCCTGCTACTGTGAATATTCTACAGGATGGCAACCCAGAACCCTACAACATGCAGCACGATCGCGCAACGATTGATATTGAATGCCACTGCATTAATACGTGCGCTAATCGACATATTTAAGTCATATGGTATATATACACATACATACATACATTATACATATATATATATATATATATATATATATATATATT